AGAGCCTCCTAGACTAGACTTTTTTTTTTTCTTTTCCTAATACATGTCCCTCCTTCTCAGAAGATGGTGGCTGGCTGATCCTTATTATTGTAGGGAAGATACCTTAAGTGGTTGTTCTGCTTTGGTTTTTTATGGCTGGGTAAAAAAAAAAAAAAAAAAAAAAGCCAAATGACGTGGTGACTTTCCTTGCTATCTGCATTGTTTATACAAATAATTTCCTACTTCTATTGTCTCAGCTTCCCAAACACCTTTTTTGAAGCAAATACATTAAAATCACATCTCTTTCTTTTATAAATTAACTCCATAACCCCTTCTCATCTTATGTGCCTTTCTTTCCTTTTGCTTAACAAGTGTCAATCATTAAAGCATGTGCAAACAATCTAGCAGTTATGATCTAACCATGCTGACTTGCTACATCCTGGTGAGGGTTTCAAACTGCTTTCCATACACAGATCTAGCAGCATATCGGGGTGCCTGTGCGAGAGTCATTTACAGAGGATGGGTAGTCTCTTGCTGTTTGTGTGAGCTGGGTGACAACCGGACTCGGTTGCGGACTCTCACAGCACTCATGTTTTTGCTGTCAAATAAGCCATTTCAGTGCATTTTTAAGATTTCTTCGCTTTATGTCCTCCTACAACAGCCTCTTTTGGCTTATCAGTAGCTCATTTCAGAAAGAGAATCTTGCTGCACTCCTTAGTGAGGTTACCGTGATAGTGATCTTTGCATTGAGTTTGTGCTACTGTTCCTCCTGGCTGGTGCCTTTGGGAAGATCTTTTCTGTGAGCTTGTGGGCTGGATCTCTTTCCTAGCTTTTACCTGAAATACCAAGAAAAAAGCCCACTCAACAAATATGAATAGAACTGAACTAAAACCCCTTAGAAAGATTACTTACCTTAGAATAGAGTCTGCCTGGGTAACTTAGTTAATTATCTGTCTTTTCTGGGTATACTAGGCCGCTGAAGGACTGGCTGCTGTAGTCCAAACTTTTTTCTGTTTGAAACCTATGCACCTCACGTCTGAAAGCTCCAAGTACTACAGCTGCAGAAAGGAATATTTTGGAGAACACTTTCTGCTGCTTTGCCTTTAAAAAATGTAGTTGTCACTTTTAGAATCTGACACCATAGATGTATGTGCAATTTGTGTTGATATTCCTATAGGTAAAAACTGGTTTGGTTAAGTCCTTTGTATTCCTCAGGGTGGAGAGTTTGTTAGGACTGGGGATGCTACCTTCAGAATGCTGATGTTCAGTCTGCACCTTCTTCCCAGCACCTGGGTCTCTTGGGTGCAGAGCCCCACTGACACAGCTGCATCAGACTTTTTCAGCTCCCTGTTCTCTGCCGCAGCACAGGTTATAGGATATCTTGATTAGCGAGTAGCTGTAACTGCGTTATCTGTAGCACCAGAGTGAAAAGCAGAGTCCTTGACTGTAGGCGAGACAGGACCATGCTTGTTCTCCTCGGCCACAGTTGCTGGTTTGCTGTTCTGTCTTTGTCCGTCTGCTTTGTGGTGCTGGGGTTGGCCAGCTAAAGAGGGAAAGGATAGAAGTTGATGAGAGCTATTTGGACAAGTTGCACAGCCTGCCTCTTTTCTGCAGGAGTGAAGTTGCTTCAAATACTTGGTTAACAAGCTTGGCTCACAGAAGATGTTTTCCATGCATAAGAAAGTAGAAATGTTCTTAAAACAGTTGCACTTGAATTTCCCCTGTGCTTGCTTCTTGAAGCCGTGAAGGAGGAAACACTGGTAAATGTGGATGCATTTAAGAGGCTTGCATATGTTGTAAGTGGGTCATCTTGGATACATCTGCAAAATGTCTTAAATTAAAAAAAAAAAAAAAGTTTAAGTTCCGTGCAAACAGTTACAGAAAAATCCTGACAGATTTGCGATTGAGAGATGAGGAACTGTCATTTACAGAGGAGAGGTTTAAGAATATTAATGTGCATCAGCTCTCCAGTTCCTGGGGCAAACACAAAAAATAAACAGTCTAATCCATTGTCAGTATTGAGAGCAAGATGGGCGTTGGACAAACAGAAAAATAATCAGAAAACATAACAGAAAACACTTGAAACTGGGCTGTGCTTCAGAGCCAAAATGACTCTGTGCCCAAGTGCAGCAGAAGTGGCCATTTGTGACTAAGCTAGGAACATCCTTAAGAGGAAAAGCAGGGATTACAGCTGAATGAACGAAGCATCCAAGGCTTGAAAGCGTGTTAAGTATATTTTGTAAAACAAAGTATTCTGGCAGAAATCCAAACAAATCCACTCAAAGGCTGGTGCTGTCCTGTGAGAAAGTTGGCTATGAAGGGGCCTGCTACTTCATTTAAGGCAAGCCAGGAGGGAGATTAGGGAGTTCTTAAGGATTTTTCCATCAGTTTGGAAAGTAAATGGAAAAAGATAGAAATAGTACTGAAAATAGTTCAGGCTCAAGTTGCCCAGAGAGGTGGTGGAGTCTCCTTCTCTGGAGATATTCAAGGCCCCGTGCAGCCTGCTGTAGGTGACCCTGCTTCGGCAGGGGGGTTGGACTTGATGATCCACAGAGGTCCCTTCCAACCCCTAACATTCTGTGACAATACTCTCTGTGTTTTGGAGTATTTTAAATAAACTTTGCTGTTTGAAGGTAGAATAAAAAAAACCCAAACCAAAACAGCTGCTAACTTGAATGAGAATCATGTTTAAATGAACAGAAGACCTAGGAGGTAGGAAGAGAATTACCTGGCCTTAAATTAGGAATAACTAGAACTAGCAGAAGTAGAATAATGAGGTTTGAGAGTTTGTTCACCATCTGAACAGGCTGTATAAAACATTCACTGAGGTTAAACTGAACTGGACAGTAATGCCAGTAGAATCTTGAAGTCCAGAAGGAAGTACCTCTGACAGAAGTTCCCTGAATGAAAAACATCTCAAAAAGTCAGACTTAAGAAAGAACTGTGGACACTAGGACTCTTGCTGTCCTTCCTGAAACAGGTTATTGGGAGATGAGTTGCAAGTTAGGTTCACAAAAGAACTCAGTTCTGTGATGCTGAGGATTGTAACATCAAAAGTTTAAGTGCCTTGCTTTCTCACAGAGGATCGCATGTGCATTCCCTTTGAAATTTCTGGTTGCAACCAGGACGCTTGCAGATCCAGCAAGCACTAAATGAACCTAGGCTGGTTTAAGCCCCAACCATTTTATGGCCCTTGCACAGAGAGAAAGACAGCATCATGGGCAGGGAGAGGGTGGACAGACCTTAAAGTGCATCCGAGCTTTCAACTTTGTCGATTCAGCAGCTCATGCACCTTCTCTATCTCTTGTCAATGGAGATGTTCAGTCCTAAACCTGTTGGTGGAAAGTACCTATTGAAGTGAGAGTGATTCAGCAAGGCTTTCGACACTGTCTCCCATAACATCATCCTAGGGAAGCTCAGGAAGTGTGGGCAGAATGAGTGGTCAGTGAGGTGGATTGGGAACTGGCTGAATGGCAGAACTCAGAGGGTTGTCATCAGCGGCACTGAGTCTAGTTAGAGGCAGGTAACTAGCGATGTCCCCCAAGGGTCAGTACTTGGCCCAATCTTGTTTAACTTCTTCATCAACGACCTGGATGAAGAGTTAGAGTGTACCCTCAGCAAGTTTGCTGATGACACCAAACTGGGAGGAGTGGTAGATACACCAGAAGGCTGTGCTGCCATTCAGCGTGACCTGGACAGGCTGGAAAGTTGGGCAGAGAGGAACCTGATGAGGTTCAACAAGGGGAAGTGCATGGTCCTGCACCTGGGGAGGAACAACCCCATGCATCAGTACAGGCTTGGTGGTGGACCTGCTGGAGAGCAGCTCTGTGTGAGAGGGACCTGGGTGTCCTGGTGGACGACAGGTTGACCATGAGCCAGCAGTGTGCCCTGGCTGCCAAGAAAGCCAATGGCATCCTGGGATACATTAGGAGGAGTGTGGCCAGTAGGTTGAGGGAGGTTCTCCTTCCCCTCTACACTGCCCTAGTGAGGCCTCATCTGGAGTACTGTGTCCAGTTCTGGGCTCCCCA